GGGGGGGGGGGGAGCCGCGGTTCCGCGGCTCCCCCCCCCCGCCGGCCGCCCCCCCGCCCGCGCGCCGAGGGTGGGCCGGCCGGGGGGGGCGCGGCCTCGCCGAGCGACCGCCGGGCGCTCGGCGCGCCCCCCTGCGCCGGCCGCGGAGTTGCCGCCGCCCAGCGCATTGTGTAAGACGCGACCTGTTATGGCCACCACTACTTCCGGGTTCCCGCAGTCTGCTCCAGCCCGGCGCTGCGCGGCGGCGGCGGAGGCGGCGGTGGAGAACGCCCGGCAGCGCGCGGCCCGCGGCGGCGGCGGCGGCGGCGGCGGCGGCAGCGCCCCCCCCCGCGCCCGCCCGCCCCGCCCGGCCCCCGGCCCGCGCCCGCCTCCGCCTCCAGCCTCGCCCGGCGGCCGCGCAGGGGCAGAGCGCGCCGGCGGCGGCGGGGGATGCGGAGCGCGGCGAGGAGGAGCGAGCAGAGAGCCCCCGCCGGCAGCGCCGTCATAATAACCATAATAAAGGGAGCCGGCGCGCTTTAATTTTTAATTCTCCCCCTCCTCTCCCTCCTCCTCCTCCTCCTTCCCCGATTTTTTAATTTTTTTTTCAGCAAAAAAAAAAAAAAAAAAAAATTTTTTTCCTCTCTCTCTCTTTCTCTCTTTTTTTTTTTTTTTTTTTTTTTTTTTTTTTTTTTTTTTTCCTTCCTTTTTGGTGAGAGCGCGCCCGAGCAAAAGCCCACATTGGCGGTGTCCTGCGCGGTGGGAGCGCACGCAGCGGATCGCCATCAGTCATTCAGCACCTTGACACCGCCCGTGATTGACAGCCGGAGTGGCAAAAAGCCATGGGAGCCGGGAGCGGGGCGTGAGGGGCACCGCGCGCCTCGGGAACGGATATTTGCGTTCGCCCCGCCGCTGTCTTGGAAACGAGAGGGGGAGAGAGGGAGAGAGGGAGAGAGGCGGGCAGGGAGGAAGGAGAGAAAGAAAGAGAGGAAAAAAGAAGGAAGGAGACAGAACTGATTTTTTTTTTTTTGTAATTTTTTGTAATTTTTTTTCCATCATTATTATTATTATTATTATTATTATTTTTCCTCCTCTTTTTTTTTTTTTTTCCTTCTTCTTCTTTTTTTTTTTTTTTTTTTTTTTTTTTTTTTTTTTTTTTTTTTAATGCTGAGTTATCGCACCGCTCCGCTGAGCCCCGGCGAGCCGAAGACGTCCCCCGGCGGCTTTCCTGGCTGGCGACGCTGAGGGATTTTTGCATTTTTGGGGAGAGGGGGGGATCGCGCGGCTCTTTCCTTTCACGCTGGCCTCACGGAGGATTTATTAGAAGTTGAAGTAGGAAGGGAGCGAGCAGGCCGATGGCGCAAAGGGTACGTATCCAAACCTGCGGTTCTCTGCGAAACGACACCCACACGCGGCTGCCAGAGGGCTGCGAAAAACTTTTTGCTTTTTCCTCCCCTCCCTTCGGAGCGAGGAACGGCGCGGTGGCCCGGCCCGGGCCGCTCCTCGCTCCCGGCGAGCGCTGCCGGCTCCGTGCGCCCATCCCGGGGGCGACTCTCGGGCCCCTCTCTTTGCGGCCGGGGCCGGGCCGGGGGCGGCGGTGCTGCCCTCCTCCTGCCCAGCGCAGTGCCCGACTCCGCGTGTCTGGCTGTAGGAGCGCTCCGCCGCGCTGCGAGGATGCGCCGCTGCCCTTCGGGGCAGCTCAGAGCTGGCTGTAGGCGCAACTTTTTTTTCTTCTTTCTTCCCCCCCATTCCTCCCCCTCCGTTTTTTTTTCTTTTTCCCTGTTATTATTTTTTTTTCTCCCCTCCCTTTTTATGAAATTTCATTTTCGGTGCGGCTCCAAGAGCGCGTCCCTTTAATTCGAATTAAAGCGAGCGGCTCTGCCATGTGCGTTGCTACTCGGGCTCGCTCCCCGTCCCCCCCGTTCCCCCCCCACCGAGCTGTGTCCCACCCCGCACGGACCCCGCACAGCGCTGCCCCCGCCCGGGACCCGCGCCCGCCGCCCTTAACAAAGAAATCCCTTCCCCGGGGCCGGGAGCGGGGTGCGGGCGGGCAAAGTCAACCCCCCGGTTTTTTTCCCCTTCTTTTTTAACCTCCCTCCCCACCGCTGAACTCCGCATCCCGCCGGTTCGGTACCCGGCTCCAAAAGTTTATCGGCAGGGCGGCTCGGGCCGAGTTACACCGTGGGGGGCGCGGGGGGTGCCGAGATAAACCGCATTTTGCTGTCGCCCCCTCTCCCCGGGGTTATTAGCCTTCTCCCCCCCGGAGCTAGAGGAAGGGGCGCCCACGCTCCCCCCCGCTGACCCCTCTCCGCTCTGTGCCCCGCAGTACGACGAGCTGCCCCACTACGGCGGCATGGAGGGGGTGGGCATCCCCACCACCATGTACGGGGACCCGCACGGCGCCCGCCCCATGCAGCCCGTGCACCACCTGAACCACGGGCCGCCGCTCCACTCGCACCAGTACCCGCACGCCGCCCACGCCAACGCCATGCCCCCCGCCATGGGCGCCTCGGTCAACGATGCCCTCAAGAGAGATAAAGATGCCATCTACGGGTAGGTGCCGGGTGCGGTTGCGCGCTCGCGCAACTTTGCGCGGCCCCGGGGGGATGCCCCTGCGCGGCGCTGGGAGACGGGCCGCCGGGTTGTCCCCCCCCCATGTCCCCTCATCTTATTTCCCCCCCCCACCCCCCCCGTTAAAACATTGTCGTCCCCTCCTAAGTTGGAAGCAGCGCACAGAGGAGGAAGGGGGAAATATTCCCAGGGCGCAACCTGCGCGGGTGCCTTTGCCCAACTTTCCGCCCCGCTTGCAGCGAGGGGACAGCTCCGAGCTGCTCCGCTTTTCTCAACCTCTTAACGATTTTAGTTTAACATTTTTGGAGACTTGCCGGGTCGGGCCGGGTAGGAGCGGTGTGCAGTGCGGTCCCTCTGTCCGCAGCACTCCTTGGGGGAACTTTCAAAGCCTCTTAAAAATCGCTCTGCAAAGAGTTGCGCGCTGCGGCGGGCGAGAAATCACAGCACTCGATCGCTTTCTCAGAAATCCGGAGGGCTCTCTGAGCTCATTGCTGTGCCCTCCGGGAAAAAGAACAAAAAGAAAGAAAGAAAGAAAGAAAAACTTAAAACTAAAAAGAAAAAAAAAAAGTATGAAGTTTTTTTTTTTTGGGGGGGGGGGGGGGAAAGGAAGAAAATATATATGTATGCATTGAGGCGCGTGGTGTGCCCGCATTCGCTCCTCTCTTGCAATAAGGAAGGGGCCGGGGGCCCCGCAGTCACTCTGGGTGCACAGCTGGGGGGGGCCGTGCGGGGCTGTGGGGCTCCCGGCCGTGTCACTGCCCTGACGGAGGGGTTCGGGTGCTGGAGGGGCTTTGCTGGTGGCGTCCCTTTATTTTTCCTTTTTTTTCGCCCCTCCTTTATCTTTACTTTCGCTCCCAGAAAGTCTTCCAGCTGGGCCGGGCGGGGGTGGGGGTGGGAATCAAAAGCCCGAAAGCGTACGTCCTTAGATTACAATTTCGGGGTCGTTATTGTGCATTCACACACGCGTTTTATTTTGATTTCTCACTCTTTTCTTTTATTTTGTTCCAAGTGAAGGAAAGTTAATTCAAAATGGCTGCTGGAACCGCTGGGGTTTATTCTTAGCCCGGCCGAAGGGTGCCGGGAGATGCGCGGCAGCGGGCGGGCCGGGCCGGGGGCGATGGGGGTCGGTAGGGAGCAACGCTCGGAGCCGCTCCGCGGGCGCGCAGCCGCGGGACTGACGGTCGGTGCGTTCGGTCCGTGCTGCTCTCATTTGTGTTCTTTTTTTTTTTTTTTTTTTTTTTTTTCTTTCTCTCCCTCCCTCCTCCCTCCTTCTGTGTGTGCGTGCGTGTGTGTGTGACCATTGTATTTTCTTGCAGACACCCCCTGTTCCCTCTTTTAGCACTGATTTTTGAGAAATGTGAATTAGCCACATGCACGCCCAGGGAACCCGGGGTAGCGGGAGGCGATGTTTGCTCCTCTGAGTCTTTCAATGAAGACATAGCAGTGTTCGCCAAACAGGTCAGCACCGAAAAAAAAAAAAAAAAAAAAATCCCAACGAGAAAAACAAGTCTTGGCCGAGATAAAGATGCGCGTTTCCCCCCCACCCCCTCCCCTCGTACTGTGGGATGCAAAAGCAAAGCGAAGCGGCCCCCCGAATAGGGGGCTGTGGGCGCTCCCCGCAGTGCCCGTGCTCGGGTCCCCGCCGGCCGGGCCGGGCCGCAGCTTCTCGGGGTTCCGTGGGAGCGTGGAGGGTTGTACCGTGGGCCCGGCAGTGTAACGAAGTGAGAAGTAATACCGTCTGCTCGTGCTGCTGCCGCATCTCAAATCTTTCGTATATTTCACACACCACCACCTCCCCCCCCCCCTTCTCCTTTCTTCTATTTAGATCCGAGCAGAGAAACCCCTCTTTTCCTCTAATCCCGAACTGGATAACTTGGTAAGAGTTAACACCGCTTCTTCCTCTCCCCACCCCCACCCCTTCCCTTCCCTTCCCTTTTTTTTTTTTTTTTTTTTTTTTTTTGGGAACTTCTATGCCTTCTCCTTACGGGCTGTGACAAGCGCCGCGCGGTGCCAAAGCGAAACCCTCTCACGTGGATCTGTAGCCCTTCGCTTTTAGCAGCGTTGTTACCGGGCCCATCCCGGCGCTGTGTCGCGGGGGGGGTCCCCTCTCCCTGCCCACAGCCACCGCCACACCGACACTGCGTTCCCATCGCCCCGCTCTCCATTTCCCCCCTCACGGATGCAGAACTATTTTGAGAGGACTCTTCCTCCCGCTTTCCCAAAGCGCCCGTGTTTAGGGGGACTTATTTTTTTTTATTTCCTTTTTGCAAAAAGCGATGTTTACGATGCGCATAATCCCGTCGCTCCGTTGCTTTTATTTTTCGGTGAACTCCAGGTCGCTTCTCGTTAAGCAGGGCACAAAGCCGCCGCTATTAACTTTTAGTGGCATCGCCATAAATCAAAACAAGTTTTTATTTACCACCAAAGCGAAGCGGGGCAGGGGAGGGGGGGTGGGGGGTAAGAGTGGCCCCACCCGGAGGGGGATAAACGTGCTGTTTGTGTCTTTGCAGATGATCCAAGCCATACAAGTATTAAGGTTTCATCTGTTGGAATTAGAGAAGGTAATTTTTTGTCTCTCTCTCCTTCTTCCCCCTCCGTTTCAGCCCCGCAGAAGTTGAGGCTTCTGGTAAATTTGCATAAATGTCTTTCTGGCTGGTAATTAGTGTCAAGACCAATCTCGGCGTCCATTTCTCTTCGCAGTTTAATTACAATTGCAGCCCCACGCCCGGCTCCCCACGCCCGGGCCCTGCTCTCATTGTGCTCTTTGTACTCAGCCGCAGCCCCGGGTGCCGAACGGCACCGCTCCGCTCTGCGCTCCGAGCCCCGGCGCTGGGGTTTGGGGGTGAAGGGGAGGATTTATTTAGCGGGGATGAAGTGGGGGCGGATGGGAAGGACAAACGGGGTCGGAGGCAGTCAGTCGGGATGGGGTTTGTTTTATTTATTCGCTTGTTTGTTTGTCGCTTTATTTATTTCTATCTGAAGAGCCATCACCGGGGGTCAGGCCGAGGGCACGGGGCTGTCCCGTAACGTTTCGCAGAGACAAAGCAGAGCCGGGCGCCGGGGCCGGCTTCTGGTTTTGGCCACCGGCAACGACCGCGCACCTCCGGGAGGAGAAAGCGCTGCGGCCCCGCAACGGCGCTGCGTCCGCGGTGCGGTGCCACCCGAGCGGAGCGAGGGCTGCCTCCCCGTCATCGGCACTCAGTCCCTTTTCTCCTAAAAAAAGAAACGTTCGGAGAGGTTTTAAAGTCCACAGCCCCTCAGCCGCTTTCTCCGAGCGCCGGTGGCAGCTCGTTCTCACCCCGTAGGAAATGCGCTAAAATCTGCCCCGTTTGTGCGGGCAGCGCAGGTACGGCTCGGGTGCCTGCAGCGTATCTCAGCACTGAGCATCGTTTTGTTTTCTTGGTGGTTTTGTCGTCGTTGTTGTTGTTTTAATCCCTTTTCCTCTCCTCATCCCCCTTTGGAAAGGGTTTGCGATGAAATCACCGGCTGAAATTAAATAGTTTACCTTAAATGTCACCCATGCAGGTCACCTCTCTAATGGCCACAGCTCCGGGAGCAGATGAATTTAACACGGGTGTTGAATATGTTGTAGCCTGTGAATCATCTTGTCACTGTCAATTTTCTGGGATATCTCTATTTTGCGAGAAAAGAAAGTTATTCCTAATTCTGGATGCGTCGGGAGGTCTCGGGGGGATAATTGCAGTGTGTTTCCCCTATTTAGGACTTCGGATGTCACAGGGGTGAAAGGGGGAGACTGGTTGCACTTGTCAATTTTACTTATGCATTCCTGATTATATTTTCTTCCTCCCCCCCCCCCCCTCCTTTTTCCTTTTCCTCTTCCCCCCCCCCCCATCCTCCCCCCCCACCTCAATGTAGGTACACGAATTATGTGACAATTTCTGCCACCGGTATATTAGCTGTTTGAAAGGAAAAATGCCTATCGATTTGGTCATAGACGATAGAGAGGGCGGATCAAAATCGGACAGCGAGGACATAACGCGGTCGGCAAACCTCACCGATCAGGTACGGTCCCGCAGTGCCGCGCGTTGAGATCTGTATGCAGAGCGCTCGCCGGGTCACTACGCCTCCTTTTATTATTTGCATATGATTAAGTCCCTTTTAGATAAATTTCCATCGAAATGAAAATTTTTGAATAATGCGGCTATTATTGCTTCATTAAGGCTTGCTCCCGGATTCGACCTGGCGAGATGAGCTTGTAAAAGCGTCGCCTGCAAACTCGACCTGGTTCTTGTCGCTTTTAATTTTTGTCTTTATTTTATTTACCCTTTACAATAATAGAAGTGTTATCCGTGAATCGCCGGCTTCTGGTGGCTTAGAAAAGGGACGGCTGGAGCCGTACACAAAAATAATAATAAAATCCGAGATAGGTGGTCCGGGGAAGACAGAGAGGGTTTGAAATCTAGCAAATGCTGGCTATTTTCTTCCCGTCTCTACGGTTCATTAGTCTGTCTTGTCAGTTTTCCTTGGCCGAACGCTTTTAGACTTCAGTGAACATTGCTTTGTGCACGCCTGCCTGCTGCAAACGCGCCCATTTTATTTTACTTAATAGGGGAAAAAAAAAATCAAGGGGTGGGGGGGGGGGGGGGGAGAGAAAATAAAACGGGACCCGGGGTTTGAATTATTTGCGGTTCGAGTTTTCTAAAAATAAATAAAAAAAAAAAAAAGAGAGAGAGAGAGAGAGAGAGAGAGAGAGAGAGAGAGAGCTCGGAACCCCAGGCGAAGCCCCGAGGCGCTGAGCGGCTCTGGCCGTGCCAGGTCGGGGCTGTGCTGCGCGGAGCTCTGCGCTGCTGTGCCCGTGGGGGTGCACCGGGGGGGGCTGCAAGGAGCTTTTCCCCTTCTCCCACCCCGCGTCGCCGTGTGCCCCTCTCTCTTCTCCCCGTGCGGGAGCGCCGGGCTCGGGAAGTCGGGAGCAGAACGGAGGTGGCTGCGAGTTGGTTCTTTTTTTTTCGGGTCGGCTTTCTCTGCCCGCTCGAGCGGAGGGCAGCGAGGGGGATGGGGGGGTAAAGAGAGGGGGGGGGGCCGGCGGCAGCCGCCTCTGGAAGCCCAAGTTATTTCTCCCGTATGATCCGCTCCGTAAATACGGTGTTAGGAGCAATCAGCTCCCGACTCTGGAGGTTTCCTTTTGTTAAAGGAAGGCACAGCCGAGCAGACAGCGGTTCCCTTCAACCGCTTATGCCATTACCGCCAGGAGTTGTGCGTAGAGCCCGGCAGAAAGGTGCGTTGCATCGCAGCGGGGGCACTGGCTCCAGTATTTCCCCCCGCAACTCAGGCTGCGGGATGGGGGGAGGAGAGATGGGGGGCTCCTACTTGCGGGCTTTGTGCCCTCGAAGCGCTGCGAAGGGGAAAAACTGCGGCGTTTGGCGCTGGGGGGAGACCGGGGCGATGCCTCCCGGGATGCCGCTGCCTCGCGGGGGGTGATGGGGGGTTCCTGCGGCAGAGTTCGGGATGGGGAGAGCCGGCCTCGTCGCCGTTGTATCCGAATTGTAATCCAACAAGTCTAACTAGAAAATGGGTTTCTAAAAGCTCTGAGTGCTGGGTACATAAAGCTATTTGAGCAAATTACAAGAATCGCTTAGGGGCACGAATGAAATCAACACTTTAATTGCCTCCAAAATGAAGATTTATACCCCATTTTCCCAACGAATCATTATTTTATTAAAGCGAAAGTCTAAAGAAACGAAGCTGCAGTTTTGGGGGTTGTCGGGGGTGAGGGGGTCCCCGTCCCACGGCCCCCCCTACACCTCACCGAGGAGCGCGGGCGCTGCGCGGGGCCGGCCGTTCTCCCGGAGCTCCCCGCGCAAGAAGCGCGCAGCCCCGCGGAAGGGAAAAGGCGCAACGTTGCGCGACCGAGCCCAGAGCCGCGGGCTTTGCCTGGGGACGCGGCGCCGTCGGGGCCGGGGCAGGCAGGATCTGGGCCCTAATGGGCAGCTAATGGGGTGTTGAGTGCTCGTCGCCGCTGCGGCTAATTAGGATGTCCCCGCGCGGTGCGTTTATTGCGGGAGGTGCGCGGTGCGCGCGGGCTGCGCGCCTTTGTGCTTTCGAGAGTCATAAAAGAGTAAGTATGTAAAAGCTTTTATGATGGGTTTAATTACATTTTCGTATATTGTGGTAGTAAAGGTTACAGTTAACAGGGTTTTTTTTTTTTTTTTTTTTTTAATTTATTGGTTTCCCCTTATTTATTCTTCCCTCCTAGGCCCCTCCGTGCCAGCGCCTTTAAGTCCCCCCACTTAATGGAAGGCAGTGACACTAATGCCAGATTTTGCGCAGGAAAGCCCCATAACGCTGGCCATTGTTCGGTGATTTAACTGGCGCGCTGGCCAGAGGTCACTCCAATAGCATCCTTCTCCCGCAGGCGCGACCCCGCTGCCTGCCAGGGTGGGACCCGCCGGGCTGCTGCTTCCAGAAGGAAAGGGCAGGAGTTGGGGTTTCGCCTGGGAGCACCGAGCTGGGGAGCGTGGCTCTAAACCCCTCACTGAACCCTCTCGCCCATTGCCGGAGTTTCAAAATAAACCTTTTTTTTAATCATTAGCTTTTCAAACATTGGCGTGTTTAAATTTTCAAATGTTTGTCGTAGCCCGGAAAGATTTAAAACACAGCTGTTGCGTGATGCAGATGGGAAAAGTCGGTCCTGTGCGGAACCCCACCCGCACAGAAGGAATTGCATTTCTTAGGGACTCCAGATCCTCTGAACGGCTCCCAGGGGCCGGGTGGTGGAAGCTCTTCACCTTGGCTCCCAGGTGCTCAAATCTGAGCTGTAAAATTGGGCTTTTTGCAGATACGCTTCCCTGGAGTATGTCTGGATAAAGCCTCTCTTAAGGGAAGCAAGGAACAGAGTGGCCACCGCACTCAAAGTACGTTAGCAACATAAGATGGCTTTTTTGAGGGGTAAAATGGGCTTTGCTTAGGTGAAATAAACTTGTTGAGCAGCGTTACATGGCCAAATTATAATTGAATCACATACAAGCCAATGTCATCTGCAGAAATGTGTTAAGTAGAAACGGCAAACAGTCGGATTCCGATAGGTACGCAGGGGGAAATGATCAAAAAATGAACATGAAATAATACTTCCTGTAAGAAGGTCCATAATTCAACATTATTTGACTCCACTGTCAGGGAAATTGTTGAAGGATAGTAAACCGATACTGGAGTCGCAGTCATTTTTGTTACAGTCTTAAATGTTTGCAACTGTGGTGTTTTAGATGGCCCTTCTTGGGTGATTGTATATCATACATATAGATATATGTATATCGTAAAGCAAACACTTGTATTTATGTTGCAGTAGGTGTTTTTAATGCGTGCAGTTGGAGAGGTTCTGCAAACAAAATGCAGATAGACAGTGATATTCGTGAGGGGTGGAAATGTTGCTTAAATGTGATGTTCTTTACGAAGGTAGTATCATAAACTGGGATGTGCTGTGTGCTGTGCATGGAGGTGGATGGGCCAGTGAGGGCATCCACTCGTTCCAACTACAATAACTTCTCTGAATATTCAGACTATTGGTTCTAGCTTGCTACAGACAGTGCTAAAATAATGCCTTTGGCGGAGGGGAAAAAAAATAAAGGAGGTGAAGAGATACTGCTTTACTTTGGGAGTTCCTTGCAGGTATTTTCAAACGCGTGTATGGCGTCAAGGGGTGGGAAAAGTTGCACATGTTGCTGCCTTTGCAGTGCGTACTCCCATGTTGGAGGAGCGGGCAGATGCAGCATTGAGAGTGCAAGGCAGAGATCGGTTCTGCGTCATGGAAGCGTTACGGTGATGTGGGACGTGGAGGAGAGCCGGTAAAACTGTATTTCCAAACCTCCAAATGGAGAGCTGTGCCCCTGACTTTATGCCACATTGAGCCAATGAGTCCTTTTTATGCCTTTTTGGGGGCTGCTTCTTTTTTCCCGCAGTATTTAGGAGCTGAGCAGGCTGCGTAAAGTAAAAGATAGGGCGCGTTCATTTCTATTCAGGGCCTGTTCCCATCAGGAGCACTGCGGCTGCAATGGCGTTAGCAAAAGCAGGTTTCTTAAAGCAAGTAAATAAGCTGTTAAAGAGATACAGCTTTGAATGTATTTTCTCTCATCTGTTATTTCGTTTGAATTCAAGAATCTCTGCTGATTTTTATTTTTTTGTTCTAATCACTTGTGAGTCCGAACGTATTCATCCTCACTGCTGGGTGGAATACTCGCAGCCTTCCGTGCTCAGGTCCAACTCTCGTATGAAGTTTTCTAAACTGAAGTTCGCAAAGCAGAATTTTGATTTTCCTTTCCTTTTCTTTTCTTTTTTTCTTTTTCTTTTTTTCCCCAATATCTGTTTTAAAATCAGCCAGGAAACTCTGGGACTTGTCATAAACATCCGCCAACCTGCCCCAAAGCATTCCCGTAAGCGGGAGCTCGCGGTGTCATCGCGATTCGGGACGCGATTATTCTGCAGGTTATTCTTTTGGGGCAGCTTAGAAATGAGCTGAGCAAAATGAGCTTTGCTTTAGGTTTAGTCCTGGTTGGGCACAGGTTTGATTCTTCCCTCGCTACCCGTATGCAGGTAGCAGTGAAAGCAGTGGGCCCCGCACATGCACACGGGTTGCTGGATCCTGGAGCGGGTGATGTTAGCACTGAAAAAATCAGATTATAACGCACTCAATCAAAACGAGTAAGCGTAGGTCGCACTGATAAATACTGCTTTAAAAAAGCAGCTTAAAACACGGCGAAAATCCGGCACAGCTTCTTTAAATTAGAGAGTCTCCTCTTTGTTTTGCATTGCTGCGTTTGGGGCTTTTTTGGTCACATGAGCTCGCAGTGAGGAGCTATCTTGTATAATCTAAACAAATTTCAGAAAATAAAGACGAGGATTGTTCCGAACCAGTCATTAAAATTGTGGAACGTTTCTGGAGTCGTTTCCCAGCCAGGGTTTGTGTGCGAGGAGAGCCGGGTGTGCTGCCGTACCATCGCGTGTCCTTGGCGCGTTCCCTCGCTCCCCGGATGCTCAGTTGCTTGTAACAGGCTTTGACTCACCCAGCAAATTTGTAAATGACTGTTTAGGTTGGTTGGTTGTTTTTTTTTATTTCCCTGCAGTTGCAACAGTGTTTTGGAGAGGGTGACTCCAACCTCTAATAGAGCGCACATTTTGTGTTTTGTGTTATTTGGACGTATTTCTGTCCCTGATTAATGACCTGGTATCTCTCTCACCACTGATATTTTGTGATGCAGCTTCAAGACAACTCGCCAGCCTTCAGCTGCCTTCTTAGCTTGGTTGCTTTTCCCTGTTTACCACCTGCGAGAAAGGGGTAAATAAATAAGATCCAGCCTAGCCTGGGGATGTAGGTGAGAGCAGGAGCCCTGCAGGCTGATGGCTGCGGGAGGGCCTTGCTGTGGTGTAGTTCAGGGCCTGGTCTCTGTGAGCATGAGAGAAGCCCATCTGCCCCAGGGAAGCATCTCTCCCCAGCTCTCTCTCCCCAGTTGCGTGTTGGCTGTCATGGGATTGCAGGGAAATGCAGTGGCCTGCGGGGCTGCTCGAAGGCTCCTGCTGGCCTGGGAACTTGATGGGTCCT